TCCAACGCCTAGTCTCTCCTGTTTATCACTTGGCCTTAGCTCTACCAAAAACTCTATCCTTATTGTTAAACACATCCATGGGAGGAAACCCATGAGGGAATTAGTTTATGTGAGAGAGGTTAGTTTCGGTAATAGGAATGTACCCTGCAGCTTTTGATTCAGTGTAGGTTCACTGATGGGTCAAGTTGGGTATTGGCAGAAAATTTCAAATTGGACCCTTGGATTTATTACCATTTTCTTTACCACCCTAATGCTGTGCACCATTCCCTTTGCTTCTTGGGTTTCTAGGTTAGAAACACTTGTTGGCCGGGCGCAGTGGCTCACGCCTATAATCCCAGCACTCTGGGAGGCTGAGGCGGTTGAATCATGAGGTCAAGAGATCGAGACCAACCTGGTCAACATGGCGAAACTCCGTCTCTACTAAAAATACAAAAATTAGCTGGGCATGGTGGTGAGCGCCTGTAGTCCCAGCTACTTGGGAGGCTGAGGCAGGAGAATTGCTTGAACCCAGGAGGTGGAGGTTGCCGTGAGCCAAGATCGTGCCACTGCACTCCAGTCTGGGTAATAAGAGCGAAACTCCATCTCAAAAAAAAAAAGAAAAGAAAAAAAGAAACACTTGTTGAGGTGGGGCTGGTCCTACGCATGATTTATTTCTGCCTCTTGCCTACAGACTGGGTATCAAGTCTGCTGGGAACCCGTCCTACAGGACCCTCCTAAGGCAAAGAACTCCAACTCCACAGAGTTGCGTTAAATTTTCACACATATAAACAGATGGAATTATTCATACTTGAGCAGTTTTCAAGACAAAATTGTGTTTTCGTGCATTTGAACATTGTCACTTCTTGATTTATTCTCTAGTAATATTAATAAATCTTTTATTCTCAGGACAATAGAGGGCTGGGATTAGGCTTAGGACTTGCCTTAGATGGAAAAGTTAAGGGAATGCCAAAAACTCAGTAATCAAAATAACATTGTAATATCAAATCAAAATCAAAGCAGCAAACTACAGCTCACAGGCTATTTCTATTTGTTTGTTTGTTTTGAGACAGAGTCTCGTTCCGTCGCCAGGCTACAGTACAGTAGTGCGACCTCGGCTCACTGCAACCTCCTCCTCCCAGGTTCAAGAGGTTCTCCTGCCTCAGCCTCCTGAGTTGCTGGGATGACAGGCACGCGCCACCACGCTTGGCTGTTTTTTGTATTTTTAGTAGAAACGGGGTTTCACCATGTTGGCCAGGATGGTCTTGATCTCTTGACCTCATGACCTGCCCATCTTGGCCTCCCAAAGTGCTGGGTTTACAGGTGGGCACCACCATGCCTGGCCCAGATTGACTATATCTGTAGAGTTTTATTAGAACCAGTGAGACAGCCAGTGGGGAGGGGGTCCCTGGAAAAACTCCAACTGGCCTGTTCATTGCGGTGGAGCCACATAAGTCTGTGCCATTTGCAGCGGGAAAGAGCCTGGTCCCTCCTCTTCCTGAGTGGAACCTGGGATCCCAGCTGCGATGGGAAACACTCTAAACTCTGGCCTTGCTGAGAGTACCTGTTCCCTCTCTTTTTTCCCTTTCACCCAATAAAACCCTGCTTCACTTACCCTTCAAACCATCAGCAAGCCTGAATTTTCATGGCTGTGGCATGGACAAGGACCCCATCTTTAGCTAAACTTTAGGAAAGTCCTGTAACACCAGGCGCAGGATAAGGCTGGGCAAGTGTGGCATAGTCATGCAAGTGTTAATTGGATCTTGTCTTTAATAAAAATACTGATATTTTGTTCATAAAGAACTTTTTACATTATTTGATTTTTAATAATAATTGTAAAATAACTTTAATTTTTAAACTGAATTCTTAAAAATTAAAAAAAACTCTTTTTTCAAGACAATTATTACAATTTAATATGGAGCAAAAGTGCTTCATGTATTTTTCCCAATCTGTCAGAGAATGTTAAAGACATACTCAAGAATCACGATTTCAAGAAATTAATAATTTTGACTGCCTCATCAATGGTATTGTTGGGCAAAATAGGCACTGTTTTTACTGTGGGTAAACAATGGCCAAAAGTTTCACCCTATCAATGCAAATGTCAATGCGGTACAAAGGCAAATAACATCTTAGAATGAAAATGATTTTAATCCCAAAGACTCCTTGAAGGGGTCTTAGGAGACACCAAGGTCTATGGGCCACACTGTGAATTGCTGCCTTAAAGGGTAAAGCTTTCACAATATATCAAAAGCACTGTCAGTCACAAGGTAAGATTCTCAGTCAGATGGGGGCAACATAATTATGACTAATCTCAAAATTAGTTTTGCAAAAATCAGGAAGAGTTGAGCAAACTGACTGTCATATAAATAGTTCTGAGCAATCAGGAAATCTTTGGGGCTAAAGATAAGGTACAAACACAAACGAGAAGTGAAAGAATCTGAATGGCATGAATATAATGCATGACCTGAAGGCATAGCCATTTTAGGGCAGCAGAGTGGGGAAAGAGCACTCCCCCACCCCCCCACCCCCACCCGTCACTTACCTTCCATTCCTTGCCCCTACTGCCTCCTGGGTAATGAGGGGGCAGAGGACACTAGAGCAGCAGCAGTAGCAGCAGGAAGAGTGAGGCAAACGGAAGGAGAGCACATTGCATCCCTAGGCTACTCCAAGAGCTTGGGGCTGGTGGTTCTGGTGCAGAAGCTCTCCTGCCATTTCCTAGCACACAACCTTGGTTGAATCCCCAAAGAACTGTCTGGCTGAGCCTCCTCCACCATGTGTGATATGGATTAATATTAATACCTTCCTCATACAACTGTTGTAAGGAGTATGAGAAGATACAGCTAAGGCACTGAGCACAGAAATAGAGACAGTAAGTATGCAGTAAATGTATCATATTAAGCAGAAGGAACACACTTCTGTGCTGATTCACTGCCCAATGTTTGGTAACTTTTCCCTATATGCATCCACACTTAGCCCAGAGCCTTGTCAGAGTTAGGTATTCAGTAAGGGAAGCCTGTCTGGACCTGTCACTTCTTCCATGCTGCACTGAGAGTCATGACTCTCAACAACAATTCATGTAGAAATCTGATGTTTAGGCTGAGCACAGTGGCTCATGCCTGAAATCCCAGCCCTTTGGGAGGCCGAGGTGGGTGGATCACCTGAGGTCAAGAAGTTTGAAACCAGCCTGGCCAAAATGGTGAAACCCTGTCTCTACTAAAAATACAAAAATTAGCTGGGCTTGGTGGTGGGTGCTTGTAATCCCAGCTACTCAAGAGGCCGAAACATGAGAATCACTTGAACCCCAAGGGCGGAGGTTGCAGTGAGCAAAGACTACACCCCTGCACTTTAGCCTGGGTGACAGAGTAAGACTCAATCTCAAAAAAAGGATATCTGATGTTTAAATATGAAAAAGTATACATAAATGTGCAAATTATTATGTAAAATATGTTACAGAATTATGCTTTATATTTCTTAAAATTATTTTTATTGGTATTAAAAATACACTGAAAAACAAAGGAAATGGCCCTAAAAAGTGACACTAGCAAAACATTTAACTCGCCAAGAGAAAAATATACCAACCCTGCTTTTTGCCAGTATGTTTCTGTGGTAGACAGAATAATGCCTCCCATTCCACCCCAAGATGTCCACATCTTGTTTCTAGAACCTGTGAATATGTTATTTTATATGCCAAAAGAAACTTTACTGATGTGATTATTTTATAAGGACCTTGAGATTGGGGACATTATCCTGGTGAGCCTAGTGTAACCAGAGGTACTTAATGGAAGACAGAAGCAGAATTCAAAGAAAGATGTGACTTCAGAAGACAGGCACAGAAGATGCCACATTCCTGGCTTTGGAGACAGAGGAAGGAGCCACATGCCAAGGAATGTTGACAGCCTCTGAAAGTTGGAAAGGGCCAGGAAACAGACTTTCCCCTAGAGCCTCCAGAAAGGAACACAGCCCTGCCAACACCTTGATTTTGGCCCTGTGACACCCATGATGGACTTCTGAAATACATAATAATAAGATGATAAACTCATGTTATATAAGCCTTGTGATGACTTGTTACAGCAGCAAACAGAAAACTAATACAGTCCCAGAGCTTATCCAATCACTTGTGGGTTCAATGCCCAACAAAGAAGTAGCCAGGTCACCAGGGTGGGGACTAACAACTCCTATAGCTTTACTAAGCTGTCCCGTGCAGCCTCTGGCCATTGAAATGTCACAAAGATTTATCATGAACAACCATCCCTACCCATGAAGATTTGGATTCAAGAGTTCTAGAGTGTGAGAATATCCATGTTTAACAAATCCTATTGGTGACTTTGTTAGATATGGTCAGTGGTCCACACTTTCAGACACACTCATTTCTCTTTTTTTATTTTTTAGTTTTTGGAGACAGAGTTTTACTATGTCTGTCACCCAGGCTGGACTGCAGTGCCATAATCTCAGCTCACTGCAACCTCTGCTCCCAGGTTCAGCAATTCTTGTGCCTCAGCCTCCTGAGTAGCTGGGATTACAGAAGTGCACAACCATGCCCAGCTAATTTTTATATTTTTAGTAGAGATGGGGTTTCTCCATGTTGGCCAGGTGGGTCTCAAACTCCTGACCTCAAATGAGCCACCCACCTGGGCCTCTCAAAGTGATGGGACTATAGGCATGAGCCACCACGCCAACAGACACATTCATTTCTATATGCAAGAAGCTTACAATTTAGAGGCTGAGTAAATGTGATTCCAATCCTGGTAGATTAATATATATGCATTATTTTAATGAGAAATCAACAGCCAGGGACAAGGGTAAAAGTTTAGAAATGTCCTAGAATAATAAATTCTGTTTGCTTATATCAACAAAACCGAGTTAAAGAATTAAACCAGATGAGAACTCTGTCTGCTCTCCTCATGTAACCGGTACTTCAGGATTAAGAAGAAGGTGAAATGGAATCCTGGCAGCCCTACAGACCTCTCACTGAAAAGCATCCCTGCTGAGCATATACCCAAGCTGGACCCTTCCTACCCTCTCACCTGTCTCGGCTGTTTCCTGATGAGGTGGAGATGTGCTAGCCCAGGGTGTGTCGTCTTCAAACTGAACCCAGTTGCTGATGGCTGAGGCCAGGTCAGGTGGGGGCTGCTCAGGGCTCCCAGGTGGGGAAGCTGCTTCAGAGATGAGGCCCATCTTTTCAGAGGAGTCATCCTGCTCCGAGTGGGAATGGTCTTGAGAGCTTCCATCCACCACATGGTTCTCCCCAGAGGAGCTCTCAGACTGGTCTGAGGAAGATGACAATCCTGGGAGGTGCTCTTCTGTGCCCCCTAAAACAGATACCAGACACCAACATCATGGGAGAAAGGCCGCTCTTCAGATCCATCTCATGGAGGCAAAAACTAAGGATGGCCATGGGGTACCTGCAGGACTCGCCACTGCCATGGGTGGGGAGAAGAAAGAGCCACAGCCATCTGACTCCATGTTAAATGACTGTTCCCCTAATCATGTGTAAAGGCTGTCAACACAGCATGTCTCCAGTCAGTATCCTGGCAGGCAGAGACTCGCAGCCTTCTTCACTATTCTATCCCAGCATCTACTCATAAAGGGGGTCATAAAGAAAGTGCTTACAGAGTGCAAGTAAGAAATTTTGGGGACTGGTGGGAACTGCAGCTGAACAGGAGAACTTCTGTCTGGAGACATTCAAATTCAAATTTCAAACTCTCTGCAGTCTAAGCTATACACATCCAGGGACCCGAGGTGCAAACCTGTGTGCACTAATGACCAGCTGAATGTGACACAGAGGCTCTTCCTGTAGCTCTTTATCACTTGATTCGGCCTAGAAAATTTAACAGCCTTCAAAATGTTTATTGAAAATTAAAAAAACTATATCCCGATTATAGTGGTAGATATATAAATCTATACATGTGCTGAAATTCATCAGCTGTACACCAAAAGAAGTCCATTGATCTGTATAATTTTTTAATCAAATAATTCATATAAAAATCTTTTCTCTTATCACTACCCAACTGGACCATCTACAAATATTCAAAGCCTCTGTAGTACTGTCAAACAGAAATACAAGGTCAGCCACACATTTAATTTTAAATTTTCTAGTAGCCACATGAAAGAAGTAAAACACAACAGGAGAATGTATTTTTAATAATATATATTTCAACCCATATGTTGAAAATTTATAATTTCAACATGTAATTAATATAAACATTATTAATGAGCTATTTAATTTTTAAAACTAGGTCTTTGAAATTTAGTGTAGGTATTTTACGCTTACAGTACATCCCACAATTCAGACTTGTCACATTTGAGGGGTTCAATAACTACATGGCCACCATACTGGAGCGCAAACCTGTAGACTCACACTTTCTAGGTGTTATAAATGAAGCTGGGATGACTTCAGTTGGCTCTGGTAGCTGCAGTAGAACAGAATCAATTGACATGTCTCTGCAGGTATCTCCTGGATCCTACCTTGACCGTCATCCCCGAGCACGAGTTCCCCAAAGTCAATATTGTCATCCTCCTTATGAGCAAGGATGACTGTACTGAGCTCTTTCCACATGCCAGGCACTGTTCTAAGCACTTTTATGTATGAATTCACTTAAACCTCTGAGATAGGTACAGATTATCCCTACTGAACAGATAACAAAACTATGCCTGGAAAGGTTAAATAAATAATCTATCCAAAAGCATATCACTCATTCCTGGTGTAACCAGGATTTGAACCCAAGCACTGTGGCTCCAGAGCCTGTCACTTTTAACAACTACACTTTTAAAAGGCTGAGAGTAAAGCACTTTGTAAATATTAAGTTTTTGTTTCTTGGAAGAAAAGAGCCAATACTTTCGGTGTTTCCAGGCCTCTTTTTTAGGGCCCTAAGATTCCCAAGATGCTTCCACTTAGAATTCTAAGTGGAAGAACTTACACATCTCAAGAAAGTGAGAAACAGACTCTTTTTTCTATATTAAGATTCCACCCAAAGAATAATCAAGTAGAAGCCATAACAAATAGACATGGTTCTGTGACAGTCTCTTCACTTTAGGAAATGAAGGCACTCCTTACCCTGCGAGTGGGCGGGAAAGGGTGGCTCTTCACTGAAGGAGACCCACTCTGACTGGTGGGTGGCAATCACATGGTCCAAAGTCGTCATGCTAAAAAGGCACTGGTCATCTTCACACTGCTGACCTCAGGTGAACCCCAGAATACTGTCTGGGGCGGGCTGGGGTAGGGGTAGTACGGTAGACTTGGGTCCAGGGTCTGTTATAGGTGGCTTGCCAAGGGCAGTACCCAGAATGTAGACAAATCAGCCCCTCCTGCCGTTGGTTAATCTGCCAAGCAGAAATCTGTTTAACAAACAAACAAAAAGGTTTAAGGACAACCATCACATTATACTGAATCCACACAGGTTTTTAGCACTGCCCACAAGAAGGTCTGGGGTGGTTTCCAACTTGCCTTACTTCTCTCTTTTCCTGTCATACCCTCACCTTTTAAACTAAAATATCTGCCTTTAGCATAAAGGTCTCTAGATAAGCCTTCATATCACACTTGTCAATAATTATACAAATTTCAGCAATTAGATTCTCTAATTTCCCTATTATATTTTAGAAATAATGTCATCTATAATACTATCATTATAAAACAAATATTAAAACTTTTCAAAATGCTTTCACTTTCTCTTACCAGATGGCAAAATAAAGGCAAGTTCTTTTCTATTAAATTAGTACAGTTTCTTGCCTTTGGCAGGTAACTCTTTGCAAGCCTGATTAAAACCTTTGGCAGAAACCCAACAATCTCCAGATGGTATCACCAAGCATGGTTTACCAAACAAGGAAAATACAAATGAAGTAATCTTGTTCATTTGGAGTAAGAGGATAAGCAATATCTGTTCTAGTGAAAAATGTGAGTTAGAGAAACATTTTCAATCGAGACCTATTTAAATTAGTATGTAATGGTCTAGCCTTTGCTCCCACTGCAATGCTGTTCTAAGAATACAGAAAGATACTTGATTGACATAATTTTGTTTATGCTATTAATATCTTTTGACAACTTGAATCTAGCTCTCAATCTAATGATGAATTAATAACATCTGAATTTATGTAAAACAAATGTGCTTCCACAAAAGAGCTGCTATACATCTTGAACAATATCAGTTCTTATTAACTGAATACACACAATATTCAGATAGTTTCTAGAACAACTTAACTCATAACCTTCCAATTTGGTGCACAATGAAAAGTTTAGGAAACTTTACTACAGGTTATCATCTCCAGTAAACAATCTACGCATGGCAGAATCAGTAGAAACATTAATAGCTTTTCTTTTTTGGTGTTTAAAACAATTAGTTTTGGCACATGATGCTTCCTAAAAACAATTAATGTTTATATAGAATTTATAATTTTCAGAAACACATTTTCTTTTTTTTTTGAGACGGAGTTTCACTCTTGTTACCCAGGCTGTAGTGCAATGGCGCGATCTCGGCTCACCGCAACCTCCGCCTCCTAGGTTCAGGCAATTCTCCTGCCTCAGCCTCATGAGTAGCTGGGATTACAGACACACACCACCATGCCCAGCTAATTTTTTTTTTGTATTTTTAGTAGAGACGGGGTTGATCAGGATGGTTTCGATCTCTTGACCTCGTGATCCACCCGCCTTGGCCTCCCAAAGTGCTGGGATTACCGGTGTGAGCCACTGCGCCCGGCCAGAAACACATTTTCACACCATACTTCATTTGATTCAATAGCCATTTTGTTGAGTAGGACACATAATAATTCTTCCATGGATAAAGAAATTTGGGCTGAGAAAAATTAAGTGACTTACTCAACGTTTTTAGTGTTTCTAGGCCCTTTCGTTACTATAAGGTTCTTAAAATGCTTCCTCCAGGCTTCTAAGTGGAAGAGTTTACAAATCTCAGCACAGTGGTTAACAGGCTTTTTTCATAATAAGATCTCACCCAAAGTAATCAAGTAGAAGCCATAACAAGCAGGTGTGTTAGATGCACCATACTAAGAAGTGATAGATCCAACACTTAAGCCCAAGTCTTCTGCAGCCAAACACTCTAATCCTATGGTCAGAGCCACAAAAAAGTACAATAGAATACAGAATATATAGACTATCACCCAACTTAAGTTGTTTACAAATATCAGTGACAATGGAACTGTAATGAAATGTCCTGGGAAACTCCCCATGTGAAAGTTTGCCAGGATACCCCAAGTTATATAAAGAATGGAAAGCCCAGAAGCCTCTTCTCCAAGTCTGTCTCCTAAGATCCTTGCCAACCACAGGACCAGACATATGCAAATAGCCTGGACAGTGCAGGTATCCCAAACCAGATCTTACCAGAGAGCAGCGCAGAGTTCACAAGCACAAAGAGCTGATTCCCACGGGCTTCTACCTATGATGTCTTTCTCAAGCTCTGTCAAATGTGTGTTATCCAATGTAGTAATGGCTGTGTGCCAAGATAAGGCAATAAAATTGAAGAGTCAGATTCCTCCTCTCTCAATGACAGCAGCACAAAAAACAGCCGCACTGCACCCTCCAAAAAAAAAACAAACCACAATACTAGTCCCTATGCTGACACATGCAGTGTCATCACTCAGTGGGGGAAACATCCTGGTGATCCCGTGATGATGAACCCAGCAAAATTCTAAGTTGGGTAAAGAAGGGAACAGGAGAGGAAGGCGAAGGTAAGGGGAAAATACCTAAAAATTTTAAACTGGAAGGTTTTAAAGACCAATAACTTCAGGTGTTATGAGAAAACTGAGGCCCAAAGAAATAAGGTGCACCAACAGAGATTGTGATCATGGGTCCGGGAGTTAGGCTGCCTGGATTTCAATCCTATACAGTCTTGGACTCATAATTCAACCTCTTCAAGCTTCAGTTCACCCTTGTACAGCAAGAATAATAAAACTCACTCCATAATTCTGAGGATTAAATGAGATCACATATACCAAGTACTCAGGACTGGATGCAATAAACTCTCTGTAACAATGACAATGAAAACAGCAGGTGACCTTCCAGAGGGCTTTCTGTGCCCCAGGCTCCATTCCAAACCCTTTGTGAATGTTAGCCATTGCCATCACTGTTGCTCTTGTTAAATAACTCGCCCAAGGTTGCACAACTTGTTCGCAGAAGCCTTGGGACGAGAATGCAGATTTCCTGAAACCACCCCATTTCTGTCATTTGCACATTACGGTTTTAGTCATTGTTCAAGAAGTTCTAAATGCTAAGTAGAGTCCCGTGCCCAGCAGTAGCACCCAGAAGGCAGATTCCAAATCCTCTTATTATAGATATAGGTGCAGTCTTGCCAAGGAACCAAGACCACTCCTCAGACTGTGTGAATGAAAAAAGAGCCCTAAAGATTTATCTATCCTTCCTTCACTTGTCCCAGACCAGACACGGGCTGGTGACAGATAATGCGTAGTCCCAATGAAAACTAGTGGAACAAATTTATCACATGGAACCCCCATCATATTCCACACGATAAGTCCACATAATTGATTTTAGGTATTTGCCACGGAAGAACCACAACCAATAAGCCATAAGAAATTAGACCTTAAAAAGTGCTGTGCCAGCAGCTGGAAACCCACAGAAGAACTCAATAATTGTGAGGTTAAGTTCATACTGGAATTAGTTTCTTGGTAAAAACCTCACCCCATTTTTAGAAAGTGAATCATAAAATGAGGTTTAGAATCACCACAAATGAGTGGTGACTCAGTAACAGCAGCAGGATTGACCAAGAGATACTAAAAATTTCAATGAAATCTTGGAGTTGCCATTTCAGAGAGCTACTTCTTTCTCAGCATTGCTTATATACAAACATTTGTAGAAGGGAGAATGCAATTGTCTGATAAGATGGAGGTTATAGAAGTAGTTTTGTCTTATGACAGTCCTCTAATACACTTTCGTGAGACCTCCATGTCTGAAAATGTATCAGTTACCCTTGAGACAGCAACCCTCAAGCAGCTTCCAATATCAGCTGAGGAGATGAAGATGCAACTGCCCCAGCTACTAAGGACATGCTGGAAGTGACAAGGTTTAGCCACGGGGAGATCTACGAGGGCTGGAACCATATGGGAGGACTGGGTGGGTTTCTGAGATCAGAAGGATGTCCTTGATTCTGGACCAACAGAGGGACAAGTGAGGATGGCCTCTGGACAGAGGATCACCACAGTGGCATTAGGAATCAGAAGCAGAACTTAACAAGGCATGTTTCTGTCTGAACAAGCCTCTGTCTGTTGAGAGCAGAGGTATCTACTGGGGAAATATGGAGTGAAGGGACTGATTGACCTTAAAAGCTAAGAAGATGAGTTCAAGAGGAAATCAGAAGCTGTGGGAGGTTTAAGAGCAGAGAGTGACTTAAGAAGTGTGCTTAAGGGAGATTAGCCTTCCTCAGACAGTGCTGGGCAGGAGCCTGGTGATGGAATTTTTCAGCCACCAGTACCTCTTGTATGTTTCACATAGTTGGAGGCCAGAATCATCATGAACATGTACTCTGTTCTGCCCATTCTAGGGCCTGAGAGTTCAAGGAAGAACAAAACACTGCCCTCAAGCGGCTGTCAATTGCGGGGAGATGGCTCAGAGAGATACTGCAGGGAGACAACAACCTAGAACAGTAACCTCGGCTCTCTAACCTATTCTGACACATTAGTCACCAAAAGTAGGATAGCATACAAGTGAGAGTGTTAAGAGACTTCTGAGAGCTTCAGCCACAGGTGGTCCTGAGCTGTACCCTAAACTGGGAAGGAGGGCTCTGAACAGAAGAGCTGTGGGCCACAGGCACTTAGGAAGGGGAGAGCAGGAATGGCATGTCTAGTCCCCAGTGAGTTACATTCTCTTCATCTGAAGAGGTTTGGAGTGGTGTCAAGAGCCCTGGAAAAGAAGCTCTAAGTTTCAGAATGAGTTTGAGTTCTTGAGCCTACCCTCTCCATTCCCATTGCCAATGGCTTGGCTCAGCCCCTCGTCATCTCTCACACAGACAGTTAACAAGTCTCCTACCTGTCTCCCTGCCTTCGGTATCACCTGCTCCAACCTATTATCCAACGTATTATGCTAGAGTTGTCTTCCTAAAACCTGAAAATGGCTACGCCACTGTTTTGCTTACAAATCCTCAAAGGCTCCTCACAGGATAAAGTGAGGCATGAGAAATGAACAAAGGATTCCTGAGAGCAGAGGCTTCATCTGTGCTTAGCACTGAATATAGTGCCTGGCACATGTTCGCAGCTCAACAAAAACTGTATAAATGCAGGCACTTTGTCAGTCTGGCCCCGATCCACCTCTCTAATCTCATGTACAATTCTCTCCTCTTGTGAACCCTATATTCCTGATGAACTAAGTTATTTGAAAG